TGTATTTTGGTAGGACTAAAGAAATATTTGAAGTACAAGTATGTTTGTATGAATACTTTATTGGAAAAACCCAAAAAAACCCAAAAAACCCGAAAAAACCCGAGGTTGAAAAACCCGAATTTTATTGGTTTGGTTTGGTTTATAAATTCAAAAATCCGACACAAATGATTTGGTTTGATATTTGAAAACCCGAACCAACCCGGCCATGTACACTCCTAGTCAATGGATAATATCCTATAAAAAAGTATTTGTGCTAATTAAGTGATAAATTAAGGTAAAAATGTAAATATTCAATTAATAATAGGATAAAGTTATTGGTAATAAAAATTTTAGGGATAATTTCAGAGAGCTCCCTTCAGGTTTCGTTCTAAAACACTCATTTTATTTGTGGTTTATGATGTTAAGTCTACCTCTCTTATTTTGATTTTTTTGTAACCATTTTTTAAGCATATTTAAAATATATATAAATCAATTATGACTTAACAAATTCACCCTTCTTTATATTAATTTCTTCATATTAATGCACATTATTAAAAACATAATTTATTTAATAAATACTTTAAATTTAAACCAACACATATAAACACTCTCAAAACTTATGCATAGCTAAAAAAAAAAGTGTACCTAATTAGAAAGTAAAACAGTAGCAACTAAATCGAAAAGCTTCGTGTCGATAGGCACTTCGAAAGTCTAAAGTTGGAACCACTAAAAACGAAATTGAAAGCTGAAAATTTTAATTTGATATGATCTTTTGAGGTAGGAATTGAAATTTACATTACATACTGAATAGAAAAATGTTTTGGTGGAAAACTTTAAAATTTACATACTGATTTTCTTAGCTATTGATTAGTTTCATGATTTGGAAGAACAGTGAAGGGAACTTGAATCTGAGTTAAAAGGCAAAATGGTCTGGTGGATACCTATACTTGTACTTGAAAAAGGCAAAATGGTCTGGTGGATACCTATACTTGTACCCGTTTGTATTGTGAACCCTTCTACTTAACCATTTGTCATCTGAACTCTTATACTTATAAAACACAATATATCAAACCCCTCTGACCATTGACCATGCTTATGTGGCATTAATATGGTTGAGTTGGCAAGAGAGTGAGATCACACGCCTATTAAGGCAAGTGAACATCATATTAATTTAAAAATATTTAAATTAAAAGAGTAAAATAATAAACATAAAAAGAAAATTGAAACCCTTCTTCTTCACCATATGACCCACTGAAAAAAGTCACTATGAAGAATACATCAAAAAGTTCCAAAATTATCCCCAAATCAAGCCAAGATGCGAGGAAGGACCGGCGATCGACCCCCGAAATAAGTGGATCTCTGAAGAAAGGCGGCCATGGTGGAAAGTTTACTTGGGCCGGCAACGAAAGTTATTCTTCTAAGAAAGAAGATGATGTTGTTGTTGTTGATGCAAATGACCCTAATTTTGATGAACCGGAAGAGAATCCGATTAATGAATCTTAGATTTTGATTATGAATGATCTGAATTGTTAATGTAAATATTGAAGAATTTGGTAATGTTTGGTGATTTTATGCAGAAAAAAAAAACCTCCTTTTCAGCCATATCCATCCCCTACCCAATCCTTTTTTCTTTCTTTTTCACAATCTATTTTCATCTATTTAGATGATCTTGGCACCTCCTTGAGTCCACTAATCACTGACGGAGGGAGAGAGCAGCGTTGGTGGTGCTCGCCGGGCACCACTGATACGCAGTGTAGGGGGAGAGAGAGTGCGGCTAGTCAGTGGAGATGAGAATGAGGTGGGTGAGGGTGCGAGGATCTAATCATGGTGGCGAAAATGGTGATGGTGGGTGAGGGTGCAAGGATCTAATCATGGCGGCGAAAATGGTGATGGTGTGCGGCGGAGATGAAGGCGAAAATGGTGATGGTGTTCGGCTAGATCTGATGCGGTAGCTTAGGTTGTTGGTTTTGTGGATGTTGGAGGAGGAAAGGAAAATGGTGATGATTTGTGGTGGAGATGAAGGCGGAAGGAATATGAGTGGCTTCACCGGCAAAAATGGCGACGACGGCGACAACCTGGTTCACGTGAACCAGTGGGAATGGAAGAAAATGTAATGGCTTTTACTTTAAAGAATATATTAAATTTTTATTATTTTACCTTTAATTAAACAATTTTGATTAATAATTTTAAAAATAATTATGACATGGCATTAATATATCTGATGTGGATATGACATGTCATTTATGTAAAGGAGAGTGAGCTACACACATGATTGGAGGGGTTTAAAATGCTTATTTTGATTGAGTTTAAGAGTTCAGTTGACAAATAATTAAGTAAAAGGGTTCACAATACAAACGCATACAAGTATAAGGGTCCACTAGATCATTTTGCCTAGTTAAAAATTAAAAAGAAAATCCATTTAAGGGCAATGAGCCAACAATAACCTAGATCTGAAACATTTTGTTGAAAAACTTGGAGGGACATGAGAGACGACGAATGTGAAGAATGATCGAGAAGCCTGTTTGTTTAATTTATCCTTGCATATTACTATTGATTAATTGTCCCCAACTTTTGTTGTAGTGATTTATAACTACAAACTTAAAAGCTTAAGTAGAGCTAGAAAAATGGAGTATTTTACTCAATATATTGGTGAGTGAAAGTGAAAAAAAGAAGCATTGAGCCAATACAACGCTCTTATCAATTCGATAATTTTCAATCATACCAAACCAATCAATATCTTATTGATTGTTGGCTCATTACCTCTTCAGGCTGTTTTCAAATAAATAAGAGATAAGTGTCAAAAACACATCTAAACTGTATCTTTTTTTTAGTTTCATACCTAAACTATTGAGAGTGTGAGTTTTAATACATAAACTATCACTTTTTTAGTTTGAGAAACACACCTCTCTTTATACCACTCTCATCATGGTGTGTGTAATACACTCTCTCTTTAATTTTAAAAATTTGTCACACCACACTCCGAAAGAGGCTCCTCTCCAGTTTCCCCCAGTGCTATTTCATATAGTTGACACGTGTCCATTTAATTTTTAATGGACTAGATTAATTTTCTTGATCAAATATCATTAACCATGGTTATTAGTAATTCTCTCTCCTCTTATTCCTTTCTCAATCAGCAAATAAACACTTCTTTCCCCTCCAAAACTCTCTGAAAAACAAAGCAATCAAACAATTGAAAATTAAAATTACATCAATATTTTAATGTTTTTACATTTACATATGAACAACTAGGGAGAGTTTCAGAAGAGAAAAACTGAAATGGAGTGATTAGCCCCAATTAAAGATTACAGTTATAAATACCACCAGAAAAGAAGTCCCAAAAAATAAATGGAGAATTTCACCAAAAAAAAAAGTATATGAAAAAATATTTTCCTACCCATTTTTCGTGTCCTTTCCAGATCCTTTAGTTGGCCTTTGCAGAAACTCCAAATTAAAAAAATTGATGGTACGAAGAAGACGACAGAGTTTTGTGGATCACCATTGTGACCGAACCAAGCTTCAAAGAAGTAGTCTCATGAGTTGGATTTTTTAAATTTTATAACCCAAGTTCTTCCTTTGAATTTTGTCTTCTTTTTATCACGGTGTGAAAATAATGGAAAGAAAAAGCGATTTGTTGTTAACAAAGCAAATTCTTTGCTGATTGAGAAAATATTTGTTGCAGAATTAATTGAGAAAGAAAGAGAGGAGAGAGGAGAGAGAAAGAGAAATAGTAATAACTATGGTTAATGATATTTGACCATGGTTTAAAGGCTACTTTATTTAAATAAATATGGACCATTAGATTTTAAAAATTGACAGATGTCATTAAATTAAATATGCACTGGACCAACTAGAGAGGAGCCTCTTCCACACACTCCATATGGACAAAGCATTCAACCTTGACAAAAATTAAATAAATTATTAGTACTAGTTAAAATTAAAAATTAAAAAATTATTATCCAAAAAATTAATATTTCTTTTATAAAATAAAACGTAAAATATTTTTCTTACCCCACTCCATCACTTCCTCTCACCGCCCTCCCCACCCCACCCCCCGACCATTTTTCGTTTTAGTTTTATTTTGTTTAAATTTCTTTTATAAAAGTATTTATTTTTTTACTTCATCTCCCCCCCCCCTCAAATACTAATTAGATATTATTTTATTTTTAAAAAAAATAATTCTACCCACCTCACCTAACCCTCCGCTTCCAATTTTTTCCTCATTTTATGTTAGATATATACATATCAAAAATATTTTTTACTTGCTGCCGCAAGACTTTTTTTATTTTTTATTTATTTATGTTATATTCGGTACACTAGTAGAATTTTTTTTTCTAAAAATATATGTACGTACATATCTAACACAAAATGTAAAAAAAAAAAATTAGGATCGGAGGGTTAAATAGGACGGAGTAGAATTTTTATTTTTTAAAAAATAAATACTATCGATTTTTTTGGCGGGGGAGGAGGAATGAGTGGATGGTTTTTTTTGGGAAGGGGGCGGGAGGGTGAAGTATGAATTTTTTAAAAATATTTTATAAAAGAATTTTTTTCTTAAAAAGGATGGGGGATTGTCGTGGGGAGGTGGGTACATGGAGGAGGTGGTGGAGTGGGGTAAGAAAAGTAATTTAAATTTTATTTTTTTTTTAAATTATTTTTTTATGGATAGTAATACTTTAATCTTTAATTTTTTAATTAATATGAATAGTTTATTATTTAATTTTTGTCAAAGTTGAATATTTTATCCTTGTGGAATGTCATGTGTCAAGGTTTTTTCAAATAAAAGAGAGAGTGTATTACACACACCTGAGGTGTGTTTCTCAAACTAAAAAGTGATAATTTAGGTATGAAACTTACATTCTCAATAGTTTAGATATTAAACTCAAAAAAATTGGATAGTTTAGATGTGTTTTTGACACTCTTATTGTGTTTGCCTCCAAGACCCCACAGACTGAGAGATGCGTGCAGTATAAATGTACTGCTCCATTGCCTCCAAGACGTCACAGCAGACTGACAAACTCCTAAGAAAACCAATATAACCAGCCCCAAATCTCTAGTTCGTAAGCCAATAAAAATGGACTATGTGAACACTTTGATAGGTGTGTTATTTGCCTGTTTTTTGGTTCGTGGAGTATTGATTTCACTTAGAAGAAGCAAAAGACTTGCACCAGGTCCATTCCCTTTGCCTATCATCGGAAATCTCCACTTGCTTGGTGACAAACCCCACATATCACTCACTCAACTCGCAAAAAACCATGGTCCAATTATGAATCTGAAATTTGGGCAAATAAACACGGTGATCGTTTCCTCAGCAGTGTTGGCAAGAGAAGTGACGCAAAAGAAAGATTTAATGTTTTCTAATAGGTGTATTCCTGACGCACTCCGTGCCTGCAATCACAATGATTTCTCTGCTATATGGCTACCTGTTGATTCTCAATGGAGAACACTTCGCAAGATTATGAACTACCACATCTTCTCAGGTAAAGATTTGTTTTATTTTATTTATGGGATTACAAGGTGTGGGTGGTTACAAGACTTTTATATTCTCAGGTAACAGACTTGACGCTAATGAGCATCTCAGAAGTAAAAAAATTCAGGAGCTGATTGATTACTGTGGCAACTGTAGCAAAGTTGGTGAAACAGTGAATATCAGCAGAGCGACTTTCAGGACTGCAATGAATTTGCTGTCGAACACATTTTTCTCTATAGATTTAACTGACCCGTTTACTGATTCTGCTAAGGAATTTAAGGAATTGGTGTCGAACATCTCGATTGAGGCTGGTAAACCCAATGTGGTAGACTTTTTCCCATTTCTTCAGAAAATTGATCCACAGGGTATAAGGCGACGCATGACTAAGTATTTTACAAAGATTCTTCACCTTATGAGTGATTTGATTGATGAGCGGCTAAAGGAGCGGAGTATGGGTAAACATGCAAATGTTGATGTTTTAGATGCCCTTCTCAACATTTGTCCTAAAGAAATTGACAGGAATCAAATCGAGCAACTCTGTCTGGTAAGTTAATTGTTACTAAATATAAAACTATGTCATTAACTAAAAGAAAATATATTGTGTCACATATATATATATATATATTTGACGTTCTAGGTCATAGGATCTTACACTAGCAAATTTTGCAGGACTTGTTTGAAGCAGGGACAGATACAACGTCAAATACATTGGAGTGGGCAATGGCTGAACTACTCAAGAATCCACACACTTTGGAGAAAGCACAAGAAGAACTTGCCCAAGTGATTGGCAGAGGTAAACTAATAAATGCAGCTGATGTTGCGAATTTGCCTTATTTGAGGTGCATTGTGAAAGAAAACTTCCGAATACACCCACAAGTTCCTTTCTTGATTCCACGCAAAACAGAGGAAGATGTTGATTTTTGTGGCTATATTATTCCAAAAGACTCCCAAGTTCTTGTGAACGTATGGGCAATAGGGAGGGACTCTAGTCTATGGGAAGACCCTTTGGACTTTAAGCCGGAGAGGTTTTTGGAGTCAGAAATAGACATTAGAGGTCAGGATTTTGAGCTCCTTCCATTTGGTGTTGGTCGAAGAATTTGCCCTGGATTGCCTTTGGCTATTAGGATGATTCCAATCGTGCTAGGTTCATTGTTAAATACCTTTAATTGGAAGCTACAAGATGGAATTACACCTGAGGACTTGGACATGGAGGAAAGATTTGGTATTACCCTGTCAAAAGCTCAACCTCTGCTGGCTATCCCTATTCCACTGTAGAGTGTAGATGTTGGGATAAACTTTTGTCATTTCTTTATAAATGTAAGTCATTGTATTTGTAGATTTATCCTTGAAATAAGACCATGTCATGTCACCACCAAGGGTTGTGTAATTCTTTCTTGATTTTCTGAAATGACAATTTTATTTGGAGTAACTATTTTTTGGCAAACATGACAACAAGAACAGAAGGAATGGCTCTTAATTAGGAATATAAAATTAGAAATTTAGCTTAAGAAAGTAGTCACTCATCCTAATATAGAATATTCTAAAAGTGCATTGTTGAAACTTTACAGGTAGTCAACTTCAAATAAACTCAGCTTTTGTCATTATTATGTCCATTCTCTTTGGTGATATATATGCGGTTGTTTAAGGAAACCGGAGGGTCACCAAGGTTTTAACCGGTCGGTTTTTTCAAAAATATACATATAAATAAAATTTGGAATTGAATTCAGGTATTTTCTAGGTCTTTGGACAATATTATCACTCGACCATATATGCTCTTTGATGAAATATTTTCATCGTCTTTATGTATATTTTTCAACTACAATTTTAGACTTCAATTGCTCTTAAACTACGAAGCTCATTTTGACACAAATACTGAAGCTGAGCGATTTTTACCTCTTCAATTGCATGTCAGTGGCTTTGATAACCCTAACTTTCCCAAGGTCATTTCCGGCAAGTGTTTATAATGCCGAGGTCATTGCCGGCGAGTGATATAAAGTCGATGGAAAATGATTCCGGTTAGTGATATAAAGCTGATGGGAAATGGTTCCGGCTAGTGGGTTGATATAAAGCCGATGGGAAATGATTTCGGCTAGTGACTTGATATAAAGCCAATGGAAAATGGTTCCGGCTAGTGATATTGTGCCGATGGAAAATGATTCCTGTGAGAGATTGATTATTGTGAGTTGGTGCATTTTAATGCTTATGTGCGACTTGCTTGTTAATAGTGATTGATATACCTGTTGCATGTGACTGATTTACTTGACATTGAGATTGGCGTACTTGATTTGTTTGATTGCTGATATGTGATTATTGAACTATGAATATTGGACCTTGTGAGTCGTGTATAGTAGAACTGTTAAGTTGGGCTGATTTCTGTGCAGGTTGTAGTTTGAGGAGGTTAGGTTGGAGTGTAAAGGGTGCATGATTTCTAGCTAGATGCCTTGTTTATTAGGTTGCTTGGTAGGTATTGTATTGTTGGTAATCACTCATTTCTTCTGTTCCGATCCCGGACCTATGTGATCTCTTTCTCCTTCTTCTCATTTTGAAGCTTGTCAAGGATTTGAAGAGGTAGTTGCTTGTCACTTTGGCGGGCCCTCTTTTTCCTTTTCTTTATACTTTGTTCTATTTGAGAAACAAGGACCGAGACTTGTACTTATTTCTTAATTTCGTACTTTATGTATTTAGTGGCTTGTACACGTGACGACCAAAATTTGAGGATTTTAATAGAAAGAATAAGTGTTTCCACTATATTCCCGCATTTCTTTCGATTTCATTGGGTTGAGATTGACTTGTCTTGGTGGGAATAGATAAGTGTCATCACGTCCATTTTTGGGCCGTGACACTCACTAATCTATCTCCTAAAATCTCTCACCTCCCCTTAAATAACTTAACCAAATTAAAATCAAATTCTGAAAATTTCATTCATCCAAAATTTTCAAAATTGTAGATACGCAAGCCCAATATTGTATAATTATACAGCTAAATATATTAGGTATTTTATAGATGTATATTTATTTGGTTTAAAATATACTTTATTTGTATGTATTTCATAATTTTAAGACGCATACAAGTATGCAATATATACTTCAAATACAAATACAAGTATGATATACGTAACAACTTGTTTGATTTATACAATTCAATTTATACAAAATCTATAATATACAATTTATTCATAAACATATACAACCTACTATATATCATATTGTTTATACAAACTGATGTACTTCAATTATAATTTTTTTGTAAACTCAATACAATTATATACATATACATTTTTTTATATACAATGAGACATGCCTTTTTCACCAAAAAGAAGAAGTCATATTAGGTAAAGAATTTTAATTAGATATAATAACCATGAATTAAGGAATCGTTTTCTTTGATTATAACCGAAATTGCCGCATCATTTAAGCGAACTTAATAAACAATTTGTATAATCAATTAAAAAAAATTGAATTATACAAACGTGAATCAATATAGCCATTAAAACTATAGCTACACTACGTAAACAAGCAACCTTTAGCTTAGGAGATCTATTATATTTTACATCTTAGCTATTTATAAAATTCCCCATTTTTGTATTAACTGAAATACGCTGGCTAAAATGGGCAGGACTTGAGCGGATTGGACGGGTCATATTTTTATGGCTAATATTCCTAATCGCAGGCCCAAATAATTCGGACCAATTTCAGGGCAGAACTTGATTCTATAGCATTTCAGAGTTTTGGTAGAATGCAAAATATTTTCCCTAGAAAATTTATGGAATAGAAATTCAAGCGGGCACCTATGGCATGTCAAGAAGCATCGTTCAAACAAGTTAACTATGCTGAAAGAAACTAAACAAACTTAATTAGATTGATCATGTAATATTCAGCTATATATTTCGTTTACTATGATATGAAACATGAAGGGGGGAAAAAAGACAAACATTAGTAGATTACGCAAAATATATCCACAGCTTCCATTTCTTTCAATTGTGTGACTCCTTGGCCACTAGAGGAACCCATACTAAACTTTGGTCCGAAATATTCACATTGCCAGACACTGGATGAACAACCATTTTACCTCTTAAAGAATGATATAAAGGGAAGACTGGCCACCATCAGGGTATCTCCAATCAGCTGAGCATGGTTGGATGCCCAGTCTGTAGCATCCTCCTGATCACATCCATCCCAAAAGTAGAATCTGATGAACTAAAGAAAGGTAACACAAAACTTAGCTGGAAAGTGATACATGTTAAATTTATTTTAAATAAAGCTACATATTGTTGTAGATGTAAATTAAGTAATACTTGTACTAGTTTGTTTTAGTACAGGAAGCTATCCTCTAGCTTACAAAATTACAATGACCTCCGTATAAAACATATATATTCATCCTCAAGAACATTCTGACTAATATGTTCAATTTATCTTATATATATCAACATATATCTTTATTGTCATCCCAAATCCTAACCATTTCTTTTTCCCTCTGAAGAGTGGAGCTTATGGTCAAGATCGTACTATTTCAGGAGCCAGTACCTATGTTAAAAATGTCGATGGGTGCGTGTTGGATCCTACAAAATGAGTGTATTTTTGAAGGACCCAACACGGGTGCGGCAACATTTTTGGAGAGTCCAAGCAACTTAGGTCAGTACCATAACTTAATGCAATCGGCATCTAATCATGGTAGAACTTATGGACTGAGAGCCTAACATGCACCATAGTTTCATCAGGTAAATAAAATGTCTTATGGGGTGACATAAAGTAAGATCAAGTGTAATTTATCCTCTATATATGTACCTACATGTTGAAATATAACCACAACACTCAAACAATTGAGTCAAGCCAGAATCATAGCGCACTTCGTTTGGTCTCAATTAGGGGTGTGCACTATTCGGATTAAACCAAATAACCAAACCAAATCAAACCGAATTTTTATTTGGATTGGTTTTTTGGTTTTTTGGTTTTTCGGATTGGTTTTGGATTAATAAATTACTTTGTTTGGTTTTTTTATTTGGTTTCGGATTTTAAAAAATAAAAACCAAATTATATATATATATATATATAAAAAATTAATGTTTAGGTTTAGAATTAAGTTGGAGTTAACCACTTTTGTCCCTTTTTGGTTATTGTTAACCACTTTTGTCCTTTTTTGGTTATTGCCTTTCATAATGATTACGTTTATATTTTATGTTTGAATAATATCTATAATAGGTATACTTATAAGTATTGTGTTTTAAGTTTTACTTATGATTTATATTAGAAAGTATATTTAAGGGATTAAATAT